GGAGAGCGTCTCCAATACTGTTAATTATCCGCATGATGACTGCTGTTTTTGAGAGCCTACTCTATACTCTGTACGAGATGCCTATTTAATTCTCATAATAGCTATGAGGATGAGTAACTGATAGAGCTGAGGTTTGAACCCAGGCCCTTGCCCTTTCCACTCCACCAAGTGACTGTTGCTCAGTGGACTCCTACATCCATGGCCATTGTGACTTCAAAGAGTTATAGTTGTTTGTGCAGAAGTGATATTGAACAGGGGGGCGGGGGCACACTGCATTCTCTTCTCAGAGGCCTACCAAGGCCCTTTGTATAGTGTGATGTCAGGGACTAGTGGTTGGGGCAGTTTGCCATTAAAAATTAGCTTCTATTCCTGTTTCTTTTGTCTGGTGATCTGACCCAATAAATTGCTTTCTGTTCTCTGAGCGAATGGGGAAAACATAGGGCTAAACATAGCCTTGATTGTTTTTACTTTTCTCGTATTGTGCTTCTCAAAGCGACAAAGATAGAAACAATTAAAATATGATCTGCCTGCAGGCTGCACAAGTGGCCACCTGGCTGATATTGATACCCAGTAGCAGTGCATTGCATTTCCAGAGTGTCTTAGACATGACTCTGCCAACCCACCTCCTGGCCGAGTCACACGTGGCCACATGGCCCAGGCGGGGCAGGTGGTTCAGGGCACAGCCCAGTTTGGACTTACCTGGCCAAGGAAGACTCACCTTTGCCAAGGCCAAAAGACACGTGAGTCCAAGGGAATGCCACATCCTCTTGTAGCTTTTATTTCAGTTTGCAACCCAGTCCTTCACACACCAGACTCTGGTCTGCTGTGTGCCCTGCTCTGTGCTGGGCTGGGCACCAGGGAGCCTCACTGGGACTGTGCTTGAGAGTCTGTGGCTTAGGAGGAGAAGTAGGTGTGTAAGCAGATCAGAATTACAGTTCAGGTGCACAGAGCTGGGAGAAGGTGTATCTCCAGAGGAGCTTTGAGTTGGCTTTTTAAACGAGGAGACTGTCTTGGTGAAAGGAGGATAAAGGCAGGAAATTAACATTGCAGGCCTTTGCAAAGGTGTGGGTGAGTGAAAGAGCTGATGTTTGGGGGAAGCTGTACTTCCCTTCACAGTTAAAAACTGACTGAATCCTCCCTCCAACAAAGAAATCTTATCTATGAGGCCATAGAGGCTTACTCTGTAACACAGAATGAGTAGGTCCTGTAGGAATTCATCATCTAGCTCTGATGTCCTGGGTTTTGATAGTTCCCTCAAGGCCCCGCAAGTGGGACTTCCAGACTTTCTGTACATAGATCTTACCCATGCTCGCTCCTGCAGTATAGTTATTAAACTTTAGTTTTATAAAGAATTGCTGGTGCATAAGAATTACTCTTTTGGGTTGTCTACACAAAGCTGGGGGAAGGAGGTGGACTTTGTGGGCTGGTTCAGGAATTCTTCAAGGATGAATTTGGTGCCGTGTGATTCTTTTCTGACCCTCACTGTCATAGGACGTTTGATACCTGGAGCACAGGGTTTGTTGACCGGAACAATGAGGAGATGGGCCCGGGTGCCGGTCTGAAATGCTTGCCTTCTCTCCCGGAAGCAGTGGGTAACAGCTGAAGGGAATGGGCCACAATAGGTACTAAGGTGGGGGCTTCAGAAAGTTCTCTAGAGGCAGTAAGGAGATAGGACTGGAGTAGGGAGGCCCTAAGGAGTCCCTTCAAGAAGCACAAAGATCGCAGGATGGCTGTGGGAATGGAAGGGCACTAGCAGATGAGAGAGAGGGTGTGTTCCTGTTTACCTGGCTCCCAATTCCCCTTTCTTCTCATGATTTCCCTAGAGGTGGGGAAAATTCCAGGCCAGTGGCACAAAAATGGAAGAGAAGATGGTATCCTCTGAGAGGGGGATTAACTCCTTTTTATCCCAGGTTTCCCTGAGACCTGACAGAGACACAGTCTGTGCCTTGGGCTCTGTGAGCGCCGGCCACCCTCACCGCTCCGTGCCAAGCCCATTGGTTTCCTCCTCAATCGGCCACATTCCTGCCCCATCTGGTGCCTCAGTGCCTTGTCCCAAAAGAGAAGTTAGTGGCCAGCGTTTTTGTACGGCAACTTCCTGAACACCCAGAGGAGCCAGCCCAGAGGAGGGCAGGCTGTAGGCCCCACCCCGACCCTGGCTCACTTCCTGAGTTAAGCAAGGGCACAGCACCCGTGGGCTTGGTGCCCCCCCGCCCCCCACATATTTGGTAATACATTTTTTCTCATAGAACATTTGGAGACTATAGAAAAAATAAAGAGAAAAAATAAATCAACCAGCTGTCTGCCAATCCGCTATTAACATTTTGGTTTATTTCCTTCCTAGCACAACATACACATTTTGCTAAGTAGGAATCACACCGTCTATACGGTTTCATATCCTGTTTCTTTACGCTTAGGTTTATACTCCTAGCATTTCCCCACATCATTTAATATTATTTGAAACTCTGCTTCTTCGTGCTCCGGGTTATTCCTTGGTAATTGATTTAACCAGCCCCTGCTGTAAGATGTTTGAATTATGTTTACCATTTTCATAAGCAGCATCATACATAAATCTTCACTTTCTTCTTAAGATAACTTTGTTTTCTTTTAAGTCAGATAACTGGGAATGTTGTGACTCTGTCAACAAAAGTTTATATTTCCTTTAATTTTACTTTATAGTTGGTCCTCGTGACTCATGCCTGTAATCCCAGCACTTTGGGAGGCCAAGGTGGGCGGATCACTTGAGGCCGAGAGTTTGAGACCAGCCTGGCCAACATGGTAAAACCCCATGTCTAGAAAAAATAAAAAAATTAGCTGGGTGTTTGATACATGCCTGTAATCCCAGCTACTCAGGAGGGCAAGGCACCAGAATAGCTTGAATCTGGGAGGTGGAGGTTGCAGTAAGCTGAAATCATGCCACTGCACTCCAGCCTGGGCGACAGAGCCAGGTCCTGTCTCAAAAAAAAAATTTTTATATTAGTTTATTGAACTTTCAGCTGCTGACTAGTGTCAAGCTGAAACTGATGTAACAGAATGGTGAATACCCAAAGGAAGTGGTTTCCTTGGGTGCTGAAGCATATTTGAATATCCTCATGCAACTTGCAGGAAGGTATTTTGGATGATTTTTGGAGGAGCAGATATGGAGGCCTGCCGTGGTCAGGGCCTGGGAAATCTGAGATGAGATGAGCAGTGTATGATGAATGAGTCGGATGTTCAGCGACAGTCCTGCTCTGTTGTAGCCGGCTTGCCTGCGCTGTTGTCTCCCTGCTGCATCTCCAGCTTCTGAGGCACTCCGTGAAGACAGCCTCTGGACAATTGCTTCCTGTATTCCCTCAGTCCTTATCTCATGACCTTGGCAGGATGCCCAAAAAGAAGGAGTACCACCGTTAGCTCTGCCTTGGCTTTTACTCTGAGCTCTGGCCCTCCCTTTGGGCTGCAGACCTCATTCCCCTTGAGCCAGTCACGTAGCTGCTGCTTGTAATGCTCCGCTGGGGTGTGTCTCTTGGTGCCCTTTGAGGAGTGGCCACTGGTAGAGGAGATAGGTTTGTAGTCCTTGCTGCCTCGAGTACTCATGGGTTAAGTCTCAGTTTTCTGCACCTGAGCACATCTTCCCTGACCCTTAAACTCCTTGAGGGCAGGGCCAGAGTCAGGCTCACCTGAGTCTACCTCAGCGCTGCAGTGTAGTATAGAAAAGGGCCTGTGCTCTGGGGCCTGACTGACGTGGGTGTACATCCTGTCAGGTATTAGCTGTGTGGCCTTGGGCTAGTTGCTCAATGTCCCCCAAGCCTCAGTCTCCCCATCTGGTCCATGACTGTACCTGCACACAGGGTGCTGTGTGGATGACACTGCCCAGGGTAAATGCTCAGTAGTGATCTGCATTGCCCTGAGACCAGTGTGCATTTGAATACCTCCGAGTAGCATTGCCGGTTTCACTTCTATTCTCTTGACTGGCTCAAGCCATCCGCATGTGCATGGTTTGTAAATATATATAGGTTCGAGGAAATAGTGCTAACAAGTTGTTCCCTGACAGCACGGCATATTTCCTAACTTTGCTTTTCTACTATAAACTGGAATACAGGAACTATGTCGAATTTATCTTGCATCTCTTAAAATTCCCAGCGTGGTACCTGATTCCATAGTAGAAAAATAGTATCTAGTTCTTGAATATTTCAGAGAAATAAAGGTTCAAGTGCAAATGTAGCATTTCATAGCAGGGTAGCTTATTTAGTCATGTATTCAAGTAAAGACCTGAATGCATAAGTTTAAGTGGTGCCCTTAAGTCTGTGAAGCCCAAGACTTGTCCTTACAGATTTCAATTGCTTTAAGTGAAAAATCGAGTGAACACAGAGAAAGTGCTGTGATCGGCAGCCATTGATGATGTTGGTGTTGAGCTTTTTGGTGGAGGTGACCTAAATCAGTATAAGCTCCAGCTTCTATTCTCAGCAAAAGCTTTAAAGGTGGAATTCGGGTGAACTAACCTGGCAGTGCCCCAGCCATCTTGTGTCCTTGGCCATCTGAGGTGTTGAGAGACATTTTTGGTTGTGGTCTTCTGCCAGGGCATCAAGTCCCAGTCCTGAGAGCTGCAGAGAACCTAGTGGCACTTAACACATGTCTTGTCCTGGCTCTTTTGCCCCCCAGGGCAGGATTCAGGGCGATTTGGTTTCCCATCCATAAGCTGAGAAGGCATTTTGGCTGAAAGTTTGCTTTGGATTCTCCTGGGAGGCAGTGTGGTACACTGGAAAGAAAACCCTATCAGGAGTCCCAGGGGTTTATCAGTTCTAGGCCCTGCTCTGCTTCCACTTCCAACTCGAAGCCTTGGGATTCACTTCCCCTCTCTGGGCCTCAGTTTCTCATCTGTAAAATGAGGTTGGACTGGATGGTTTCTAGGAGTCTTTTGGCTGTTAAGATGCTGTGTTTGAAATGGGTTGTTGGTGTGGAGATAATAGAGGGCTGGAGTGAAGGCCTTCTCAAATTCTGTTTTCTCCTTGTCATTTATGAACCAGAAAATGACAGATGGCGAGACTTGGACAGGAAATGCCCTCTTCAGATTGACCAACCGAGCACCAGCATCTGGGAATGCCTGCCTGAAAAGGACAGCTCACTGTGGCACCGGGAGGGAGTGACCGCCTGTGCTGTGACCAGTCTGATCAAAGACCTCAGCATCAGTGACCACAATGGGAACCCCTCAGCACCCCCTAGCAAGCGCCAGTGCCGCTCACTGTCCTTCTCCGATGAGATGTCCAGCTGCCGGACATCATGGAGGCCTTTGGGCTCCAAAGTCTGGACTCCCGTGGAAAAGAGACGCTGCTACAGCGGGGGCAGCGTCCAGCGCTATTCCAACGGCTTCAGCACCATGCAGAGGAGCTCCAGCTTCAGCCTCCCTTCGCGGGCCAATGTGCTCTCCTCCCCCTGTGACCAGGCAGGACTTCACCACCGATTTGGAGGGCCGAACTGCCAAGGGGTGCCAGGCTCAGCCCCCTGTGGACAGGCAGGTGACACCTGGAGCCCTGACCTGTGCCCCGTGGGAGGGGGCCGGCTGGACCTGCAGCGGTCCCTCTCCTGCTCACACGAGCAGTTTTCCTTTGTGGAATACTGTCCTCCCTCAGCCAACAGCACACCTGCCTCAACGCCAGAGCTGGCGAGACGCTCCAGTGGCCTTTCCCGCAGCCGCTCCCAGCCGTGTGTCCTTAATGATAAGAAAGTCGGTGTTAAAAGGCGGCGCCCTGAAGAAGTTCAAGAGCAGAGGCCTTCTCTAGACCTTGCCAAGATGGCACAGGTAAGAGTCCTGGCAGCCTGGAATCACCTTGGTGCTCACTGGAGCCTCTGCTGGTTCTGGGCCATCCTAGACAAGCGTAGGACTCTGGTTTCCGAAATACTCAGGAGTCGGTTAGTTTCTTTGTTCTTTAAACCTGTTCAAAGAAAGCTTATTTCCAGTTGGTTTTAAAAAAATGTATTTTTCTCTCTATTTACAACCAAATATTCCCTTTCACTGTGAGCTCAGTGCTAGGGGTACAAGGGCAGGCAGATGGTGAGAGGCGGGGCGTTGGTGGGCAGACTCAGGGACCAAACACTGGGAATCCCCTCTGGCCCTTCACTGGAGCCGTCTCTCCCAGGAAGCCACCCCTGTAGCTGCTGCAGGAAACATTCACACACACACTGGGATTCAGTGTCCCTTGGATGATGCTGATCCTGAGATTGGGCTTGTGGGTAATGGTTGCTGAGAGCTAGTGACTGGGGGCAGTTTATTCCTTAGATTAAACTCTTGAAATATGAGGCCGTCGAGAAGTTGTGATCAGTATCCTCTGAGCTGCCTCTGCAGTCATCCTTGCCCTTCACTGTAGAGGAAGTCTCTGGCCACATGCCCCTGTCACTTGGACTTTATCCTCTGTCTTGGAGCCCTGCCTTGTGCTAACGCTGATCTTGGATATTGATTTGAATGAGATGAACTTGGAGTTAATACTCCGTCATCAGTGGAGTCTCTGAGCCTGCTGCATCTGGTTGTGGCTGGGGATGGCAAGGTGATCATGAGGCCCAGGAAGTGGTGCTGGCCCCTGTGACCTCTTGGTTCTGTGTTCATTCAGGAGGCTGTCAGTTGCTTAATGCCACGGTCTGACCATCATCTTTTCTGGGCTTGTTTATTGTAAACATTGGTCCTCACTGGGTCTGAGGGTGAAGATCTTGTTGGTGAGGTTGGTTTCAGAGGGGCTGGCCTTGGCCGGATCCAGGGCAGGCAGGATCATTGTGCTCACTGTGTTTCAGGCGGGCATAGCTGACTTCCTTCATTGCCCGATGTTGTTTTCTCAGTTGGGTCTTCTTTCCTTTTACAAAGTAAGTGCAGTTTCTCTTCATAGGGTTTTGCCCCTCTCTCCTTTAGTTCCTACTCCTAACATAGAGGTCTACCCGAAGGGAAGAGGTGCAGGTGTCTTAGGTCCAGAGCATACCTGGCCCCGAGTCCAGACTTTCTGGCCACCTTTGTTCAGGAGCCTGGGCGCTGGCTGGGGCAATAGGAGGGCAAGATGGTGGTGTGCTTGTGCCTCCTCTGTGCCGGTGCGGTCCGCTTGGGGGAGGGCCCGCGGGGCTGTGGGGCGGAGCTGCTGCCCCTCCTCATCCAGTTTCTGTTCCTTCCATTGCGGCTCCAGGCGTGTGCTGTTCTCTTTCCTGCATAGTGGACGTTTTTGACTTTACTAGCTAGGACAGGGATTGAGCACATTTATTGGATACCAAGAGGAATTTCCCTTCTCTAGAAAAATTTACATAGGTAAAAAGGCTGGAGAGGTGACAGATTTGGCTGACTTCTGATGAAAACCCAGAGTCCAGAGTTCTGGGCATGATAATGGCTTCAGTTAAATTTTTAATGCTGAGCATATTTTATTACCTAATAAGCTAGATAGGTAATAAAAACAACATACATGTTATTATATTTTACTAGCCATAGTTGGAACAACACCACTGGCATCATTGGAGACATTTCCTGACCTCATTTGGTGAGAAACTCTTTAAAACTATATTGCTCAGAGGGGCTGTGACCAGTTGTATAGATGGCTTCGTTGGCTCCAGGTGGGCCTGCTGGATCTGGGCAGGTGCATGGAGCCTGAGGAGCCTGCTCTGGTTCAGCCTCTCTGTCCTTGGCTGCTTTCTTGGCAGTGGGTCTCGGGCACAGGAAAAGTAGAGAGGGGCCTCTGGGAAGCATGTGTACCCAAGGCCTGTGGTCAGAGCCCTGAGGCTGGGCCTGTGCATGCTGAGCCATGCCCACACCAGGAGTCTAGATCCTGGCCAGCCCTCTCTCCATCATGCTCTGCCATCAGATGATCTCTAGCCTGGGGAGGTGAGCCTTGCTTTTCTATGGGGCCCTGAGAACGAGGCCTATAGGGTATCCCTGTGTATTTGTCAAGAGCCCTGGACAGTGCAGGGCCTCGTGCATGGGAACCTGATGAGCTGGGTGTGTCGCTGGTGTACAAGGACTGACATGTTGCCAGATAGCCACTGAGGTGGGACCACTGGCCACAGACCCCAGCATCTGTGTGCTGTGGCTTCACTCAACATTTGGGACCACCAAGAAGGGGGTGGGGCCTGCCCTGCATGCCCATGGAAGCAAGGCTTTGAGTTGGGCTTTCCATATCTTTGGAAGGGAAGGCTTGCACCAGATGAGGCCCACTTCCTTCTGCTGTGCTCTGGCCTCCCTTTCCTGGGCCTTTTGATCTCAGTTTATACCTTTGCCTTTGAGGGGTGAGAGCTCCACTCGTGCATCCTTGTAAAGGCGCCCTTCGTCTGTGGGTTCTGAGGCCAGGTGTGTGAGAGCCTCAGGTTAAAGGTACAGACAGGCCTTTTCACTTAGACCTTTGGAGCAGCTGGCTGTTATGAAAAGCCACAGCTTCCCTAGAGGCCCCACCTGGGTCCCAGAGCAGACCTTGAGGGTGTGCTTGAGAACATGGGGGCTTCCTTCCCTCTGGCCATGATTCGGTGTAGCCAGTTGGACTGTGCTAGCTGGAACCCCTCCAACCCGCCAGCAGGAAAGGGACCAGGGAGAGAACCCGAGAGAGTAAGAGGGCTGGAAGCGCTGAGGTCCCAGGCCCTGCCCTTCTCTGTATCCACAGTTGAGTCCCCCAGGAGCAGGCGCCCTGGGTGTAGACTCTGTGCAGGGGATGTCAGGAGATTTGACCTCAGAGGTTGGCCATTCCAGTCCCTCCTGAGGAAACTGAAGCTCTGTTGGTCCCTCTGCCCACCGTCTGGGCGTGGTGCTCACTTTTGGGTCTGCATTTAGAAGGTGACATTTGACAAACCAGAAGGCCTCCAGAGGTGGGGCCCAGAGGCTGGAAGCCCTGGGCAAATTGCTTAACATGTGGGAGGACAGGACTGTGGGAGGTACAAGGGAAACGACGTGTGTGGAGAATGTGCTTATGTGGACGTGTGTGTCAGTCCATATGGGTGTGTATCTGTAGCTGTGTGTGTGTATCCACATCTGTTGATATGTGTATGTGTGTATCTGTATCTAAATGTACACACACGCCGCACCCAGTGCACTGGCCAGCCCAGGGTGGGTGCTGACAAACACCTGTGATTATCGTCACAGTCACAGGACTTGGAGGAAAGGTGTGGGCTGCTTCTGGGTGCCAGAGGCAGAACTAGGAGCAGAGGGTGGACGTTCCTGGGAGGTGACCTCAGTCTGCTGTGAGAATGCCTTCTCTTCATCCACCGTTTTCCGTTTCCATCCTCCCATTTCTGTTCATGCCACTTTGTCTTGTTTGTTCATGTTTTTGCCTCATCGCTTTTCTTTGGTAAATGGGAAGGAGGCCTGCCCTGTGGCTCAGCTCAGCCTGCGGTCAGCTCTGTTCAGAGCCCAGGGTTATGAAATGGTGACGGAATCAGATTTGCACCCCTCGCCAGAGGAAGTTGGCCGTGTGTGAGCATTCTCATGTCTGTCGCCCTTGAAACTAGGGTGGAAATATCCCAGGGGCCCACTGGCCACCCCACCCCTTCCGAGCCCATGCCTGGGGCGCAGCTGTCCCGTTAACGGCAGTGGGGGCTCTTGTCTCTCGGGGATGAGATGCCCTTGGTGGGGTGTAGACATTGCTTTCAGGTGGTCTTTGCTCATGTCTTCTTAAAACCCCGGTGCCAGGAGAGCAGGCAGAGCTGCTGAATGAAGCTGCAGGTGAGCAGGCCGTCTGGGTCCTCAGTTGGGGAGGTTGAATAGTGAGGAAAGCCCTACTGGGGGGAATGACACAAGGACCTAGTGCAGCAGTGTCCGCCCTCCCTGGACTTGTAATTACAACCACTCGGTTCCACAGAGCAAGTTGCCCTCAGGCAGCTCAGAGGACTAGTTACACTGTGATCCCTGCTCCAGCTGGCTCCAGGACCTCCTGCACAGCCTGCCTCCTCACGTGCTGTTTTCGTCCCTTCTGGTTGCTGTTCTCTGTGGAGCTGTAGCCTTCCTTTTGCAATATGACAATGTGTGCCATTGAGGGCAGGGCCCAGCCTGAGGGTGTGAGTTGTTTATTGGCAGGACTTTGCTGACATTTTCCTTACTGCTTTTTTGAGACCTGGTTTGACCACCCAGCACTGGTTGGCTTCCAGCAAGACTTGAGCTATAGGCGGCCATTTAGACATGGATCACATGTATATGAGCGAAGATTCAGAAAAGAGCAACAATGAAAAAGATCACTCATTGAATGCAATCCCCTGGTGTCACAGTCCCTGCTGTATTTTTAACTCCAAGCTGGTCATCTTGAAAGAGCAACAAATTGTATTTCTCAGCAGTGCTTCAAACAGAAGCAAGATGTTTGTGGGGAGGGGTTGGGATGCCGAAACAGAGGTTTGATTGATTGCAGCTGCCCACACACCAGGCCCGAACCTCCCTCAGCAGGCCTCAAACAGGCAGCAACTGTTGTGTTAGCAGATGTTTGAGGGACCGTGAAAGCTGGCCAGGGGCAGTTTGGGGTAGAAAAGAAGCATGAGGTAGAAACCAGCATGCCAGCACGTCTTTGGGAAGCCTCTGAGAGCCGTGTTCCTGGGGATGAGTCCAGGAGACCTGGGTGGGCAGGGCCATGGGGGCTGCGCAGGATGGGGGCTGCTGCGGGAAGTCATGAGAGCTTGTGCAGACGCTCATCGGTGACCGGCAGCTCTTTGCTGGATGGGTCCTGCCCAGGTGAAGCCCCCAGCCAACTTCCACTTTCCATCTTTTGTGCTGGTGGGGGCTGCCTCTGAGGGACAGTGGCCCTTCTTGGTCACCATGTGGGGTGGCTGCATGACTTCTTGCTCAGGCACCCCCAGCAGCTGCAG